ACTGCAAGTATGCCAACAGGACAATCCCCAATATGCCGACATTTATTAAACTTCTGCTTACATCTCACTTACTAATTTCTCATTTACCAATGCCAGTCACAGGGCCAAACCCAGGTTCAACCAAAGGGACTACAGAAGGCCATGAGTACTACGAGGTGAGTTTCAGTGGGGCCAGTGTAATAGCCTGCCACCATTCCTCTCCGTCCTTCACAAACACCTCTGCATTCTCCTTTGAGATGTTTCCCAAATACATTTATATTATCCATTTTCATTGCCTTAGTTCAATCTTTAGATCTCTTTCACTTTCTTTTTGGGGGGTAAGTACCTAGCTGGGCTTTTTAACTAAGGGTAGGGGGAAGAAGAGTAACACTCATTCAGTGAATAAACACGTACTAAGTAGTACTGAGGAATACACTGCAGTTATAAGTGTGTGTGACACATGACTGAACAAGATACTCCCTCTGCCCTCATAGATAAAACTCTGCAGGAGAAAATAAACAAAATTATGCTCCCAGTCCACCCTCTTAATTATAATTATTTTTCTAATGCACAGATTTCAATATATCACAACTCTGCTTAGACATTTCCAATGTTTGTCCTTGATAACTATATGAGATCCAACCTTATTTAAGATAACTCAAACGAGCCTTTCCAGATTCATCTCCTACTGCTTCCCTTCAGCTTACCTCTTGCTCTCTTTCACAGATCTATGTCTTTATTCCTGCCACTCCATCCAGGTAGAATGCTCTTTCCCAGTCCTCAGCTCTAGGAACATGCAATTTTCTTTTGAAAGCCACACTCAGCTACTCTTCTACAAGACCTCCACAAACCCAGAAAGAACAAATAATACACATATGCCCCACCAGAGCCGGCAATCATCCTTCTAACTCAGTATCTATGTTCCACTGCTGTTCGTGTTGTTTGTCCTTTCAATGGACCATAGGATCTCTTTGGGCACCATGTTCATGGTCATGTAACTTGACATTTTCTGCATCAAATACAGCTTGGCGCACAGGAGGAAATAGAGAAGAAGGCATCTCATATAAATTCTTTCCTTTCTATGAAATGTGCACTATCTTTGAAATAAAAATATCACAGTTGTAATTATATATTGAATTTAAGATGTCAGAACTGCTCTAATGAGAAATTAGGGTTAATAAAGGAATTTCTCCTCTGTAAAAAAAAAAAAAATAGATGAATGAAATATAAATCTAAAACGCCAGGACACTTTGGTTCAATCCTTTTTTCAGTGCCTTGGAATAAGCAAAATGTCTGCCTTCCAAGGCTGCTGCTAAGATAATGTTATATTCTCTAACTCAGGCCACTGGACGTCTTTGAATGAAATGTTGCATTCTTATAAATGCAACCTAAAGAGTGAAACTCTAGTAAAAGTAAAGCTAATGCTCACAAAACATAAAATTGAAGTATTACATATAACACTACTTCCAATTAAAATTCATCACGAGGATATACCCACTGAATCTTTTGAAAGTACAATATTTGAATTAATGATTTAAAAAAGCCTCGTGTTAAACTTTAATTGTAATGTAGTTATAAGATTTCAATAAGTGAATGAATTTTTAACATGGTCATATAGATGAAGACGGCTTCCCAGGTGGCGCTAATGGTAAAAACCTTGCCTGCCAATGCAAAAGACGTGAGAGATTCAGGTTTGATCCCTGGGTCAGGAAGATCCCCTAGAGGAGGGTATGGCAACCTATTCCAGTATTCTTGCCTGGAAAATCCCATGGACAGAGGAGTCTGGTGGACTACAGTTCACTGGGTCGCAAAGAGTTGGACACAGCTGCAGCAACTTAGCGTGCAGCATAGATGATGACAGAACATAAATCTATATCATACAAAATCCAAATCATACGTAATCAGATGCAAACAACAGTGTGATACAATAAGCCACTGAATTCACAGTAAAGGACTTTATTGGATGATAAATGTTTGCTTTAAATCACAAGCCCTTCTAGAGTCAGGCCCCATTTAACATCCTACCTATACCTCCATCACTTACTCTTCTCCCTTGCTCTCTCACCCCGCTGGATTATATATGACATTTTCTCTAGTGGTTGTTACACTCTCAACATAAAATGGGACCCTTCTGGAAATGAACAGAATATCCCTGACACCATGCAGCAATTTCAATAATCTGAAGTTTGGTCTAAAGATGTGAGAGTTGGACCATAAAAAAGGCTCAGCACCAAAGAACTGATGCTTTCAAACAGGGGTATTAGAAAACCTCTCAAGAGTTTCTTGAACAGTAAGAAGATCAAACCAGTGATTCTTAAAGGAAATCAACCCTGAATATTCACTGGAAGGACTGATGCTGAAGCTAAAGCTCCAATATTTTGACTACCTAATGCAAAGAGCTGACTCATGTGAAAAGACCCTGATGCTGGGAAAGATTAAGGGCAGAAGAAGAAGGGGGAGACAGAGGATGAGATGGTTGGGTGGCCTCACCAACTCAATGGACACAAGTTTGAATAAACTCCAGGAGATAGTGAAGGACAGGGAAGCCTGGGACTGCTGCAGTTCATGGGGTAGCAAAGAGTTGGACACGACATGGCAACTGAACAACAGCAGCAACTGTATAGGTGTGTCGTTTCATCCCTCCAAGAGGGACCGTGTTCTATTTAACTTGAACATTCCACACTGTCTGGCGTGTAGTAGGCACTGGATAAATGTCAAGTGACTGAAACAACAAATGACTGCACAAAATGAAACCTGAATTGTGTCTTTTAATGCAAATAGTCATTTATTTAAATTGTGAACACTCAATAAAAAGATTGACATTTATATTGAATATTTTAATCTGAACTAAGTCTGTATTCATTTACTTCAGGATAAAATATTACAAATTGAAAAGATATGCATTCTAGGATATAAAAAATAGATTATAACATGAGTAAAAGCACAATTCTGAAATGTATCATATGCTTCTGCACCCTTTGGCAAAACGATGAAGACAAAAAAACCTATTCCACGTTTCTCTGGTTCAAATGTGCCACTTATTAGACATGAAATGTTTCTGTAAATAAAGGTGAGTAATATCTCCTTTTCTTACCTCACTAATATAAATATCCATATGAAAAACCTCCCCTAAAGCTAAACTATAAAGCCTTAGTATTATCAAGCCCAAAACATGATATCCAGTGTATTTTTTTGCATTAGAAATCATTGAGACTGATGAACATTTAGCCCAATCACTGTCATGCATACTGAGGGAGAATTTTCCTTTGAGAAATAAAATATTCATCGCTTCTAATTATAAATGGTACTGTTGTCAAGACAACTTTTCTCATGAGGGATAGGATTATTCTAAAATAGCCTTCTTTAACAATTTTTTAAATCTCAGCACTTATTTACAATTGAAAATACATCACCCCTACTAATATCTCATTAATCAAAATATACTCATCAATTTAAAAGAAATGTTATTTGGGAAATATTTCAATAGAGTCCTCTTCCTTAGCTGGGCCAGGGAATTACAATTCATGACATGAGAATTTAACAATGTAGCACTTCAATTAAAAGCAGGGAGTCTGGAACTAATGTTACATAAGTAGCAGGCACACTAGAGTTAGCATGTCCAATTAATGTCTGGCTATTGGGGCAAAATGACATTCTGAGGCATGAAGAACAAAAGGGTAATTGGATATAAAAGGGATCTCATTTTAACAAACATGAATCTACATGGTCATTCCTATGAGCATGATTCACTGCAACACTGCAAAATAAAAGACATTCTAATATTGAAACTTTCTTAAGATTATAACAAAGATATATCCAAAACAGTCAACATTCTAAATTATAAATGTATACTGTTAATCATTATTCATAAGTTCTTTATAAAATATTTATAATTTTTGAAGTTCTTCCATACCTCAGCTGACTCTCTCAACAACCTTGTGAACAAACGGGGCAGTGCGCATGTAATTTTATATATGAGAAAAGCAGATGTATACACTCTTCAAGGTCATACAGCCAGTAAGAATTCACCCTTCATTCATTTATTCATTTACCCCCATTTTTACAAAGTATCTACTATGTGGCAAACACTGTACTACTATGTGTTGAGGGAATACAAAGATTAAAATGATTAATCTTTTAGTTAGAAAATCATATAGCAGATCAAATTTTTGTTAAACTGAAAACTCACTAAGTGTTATTGTATTTAGGCTCCTAGGAGCATAATGATATTCCAATACAGCTCTAGGCATCACAGAAGCTAAGTTCAAAGAAAAAATAAAAAGAGTTTCATAGAGAAAAAAATGCATGTAAATTTTCTCTTTTGCTAAAATCAATCAATAAGTTGTAGAATTCTCTCTCTTGAAATTTAAAATAAGCAATTAATGCTTAAATAGGTATTTAGTACATCCATCACTGTTAGCCTGAAGACACAGAAAAATAAAGACCAAAGTTCTGCTACAATTGAGAACACAAGGGATCTGTATTTGTGTGTATACTGTATACACACCTGTATACTGCAGGTGCCTAAACGTGAGACAACCCAAATAAATTTATCAATTATTAAAACCGAGGACATATACATATAAATATATATATACCTGTAGCTAGCTAATGAAAGATTTCAAAATAAAATTACTGCACCAAAAATTATGAAATAATATGTATTCTAAACTGTAAAAACAATGTCCTTGCACAAAATAATTCTGTCTTTTGTCAAGGTAAATGTAAATATCAGACCGAAAAGTTTCCTAATCTCTGAGAATGTCTTATGACAAAATCAAAATATAGCCTATAGCAATATAAATAAGTAAAACCATTCCACTTTCTTCCTTGAGAACAGAATACAGAACCAAACAATTATGGAAATTCAATACCACCCTAAATGATTCATTGTGGTAGACCTTGAACTTAGTCAAAAATCTTTATTTTAAAGAAAGCAAGGTATGTGGTTTTTAAAAAATTCATATAACAGTCATATGACTTTAATTATTAATATTTGATACATTTGATGAGTTTAAAAAGCAGAAAATACATTTACCATTTTTATTAACCTAATCAGAACTTATTATATCTAAATGATCTTTGTGGGCATTAAAATGATCTATTTTCCATATTGATTTTTACTGTAAAAAGATTATGCGATTAACATTACCTTGAATAAAAATATCATACACTCGAAAATAATGACCGTTATTTCAGACTTTTTTAGGCATAACCATAACAGATTAATACATTTAGTATTATAGAGTAAGAGGTAATTAGTATAAAACACTGCTTCATTTTAATGATTATCTGTTATGGGACCCTGTAAATGGCCAAGAGAGGCAAAGAAAGTATTTTTTGGCTTTGATAAATGGGTAACAGCAAAATGCCAAGCAACCTCAGCAGAATATGGAATTGGCTCCCCCTGTTGGACCTGGAAAGTTCACATTTTTAAGAATCACATAACAGACCTTAAAAAAAAATAAAGTAAACAACATAAACAAAATAAGACCTACAAAATTACACTGGAAATCTGATTTTTTATACATACTATTTTATTTTCATATTTTAATTTTTTTCTGGATTAAAGTCCTGCAAATCAGCATATAGTTACTAAGGAAAATTGAAATTACTTCTCAATTTAGTGAAATACATAAAATGTCCAAATGAAGTATATAATTTCATAAATGCTATTGGCTTCTTTCGTCAACTAAAAAACATGTCACCTTTTGAAATAAACTCTAGAAAATAAAAGTTACTTCTCACTAAAAATATTATTTGAAATAACATTCTGGTAATAAAATTTGTCTTTACCCTTCTTGATATATATAAATTAGCAAGGACATTTTTAAAAAGTGTGCATGTTCTTATTTCTCAGGGCAAAACAGAGGTTTTACATCTCTTAAGAAACACCTACATCTTTTGAAAATGGCTGTTATGATTCAGATGTTGGGTGGCTTGTCTTTAACCTGCTTCCCAGCTGGTCTGAGAACAAAAGGGAGTGACAAGAGTGGGAATTAGTACAGAGCAAAGAAAACAAAAAAATAATAAAATTCTTACTCACTTATGAAATTAGGATAGTGGGGGAAAATACAGTCTAGACAGCCACTAAAATAAGTATAAAATTACAACTATGAATAAGAGCAATTTTACATAATTGCAAAACAATGCAATAAACTGTAGTCCTCTATTTGCACACTAAGAATTTATTATCAACTTCCCCAACTGCCTCACCTCAACAAAGGCTCTGATAGTTACTGTAAAAAAACGCAAGTTTTAATAGAAATGAAGCATTTGAAGGGTGACAAAATGGAAATCTATTAAAAATCACCTCTAAGCTCTAAGACCTTACATATATGCAACATATCAAGATGCTTCTGTCAAACCCTAATTGTCTCTTATCATATTCATAGTTTAACGTTATGTCTTATCTTTCTTAAAACTTGGTCATTTAGAAAGCTGAGGTTAACGAACCTTATCAAAAAGTCGATAATAATAATAAAAGAGTCAAAATGCCATTCCCCACAGTGAATCTGTTAAATAAAGTGCACTGCTTTCCTTTCCAAGGTCAGAGGAGATAACTTGTTGTCCCTGCCTTGACTCTAAGTTCACAGGAGGGCTCTGGGACACTGAAAATGCAGACAGAAAGGGACAAATATCAAAAACAGTTTCTTTGGAAAATTCCTAAGGGACTATTTTCTTTTCAGAAAATTGCGAGAAAATACCCATCACTGCACACTTTGCTACACATATGCCTTCAGGACCCAGGACTCAAGCAAACATTGGTACTGTATCTTAGATACATATGGATTAAATAGGCTGTATGCACTGGCCTGGGAACGGAAACAATATTTACAATGTTGTTTCTATGGGAAAACATGTTCCAAGTTCTAAATAACTTACAAACGTTTGGAATATACTGACACAACAAGCTTTAGTTATGAGATCTATTAGGAAGACAGGATATAGATTACAGTTGACTTGGAGTCAATTCATATTGACCTCCCTTTTTTTTTGACCTCCCACTTTTCCTTCATAGGCTGGTAAAGGAATAAAATGTCACGATTTACACAGGTATGTAATTTTTGTTTGTGAAAATCCTATGAGATTTTTAAAAATTAACAACAAGAATACACATTAAATCTCTAGCAACCTTAATCTAATTCCAACATATTTCACCCTACCCTATTTCAGTTAGTCTTGTTGACATTTATTAGATTGACAATTTTGCCTAGGGAATGTCAAAAATGCAATTTTCCAGATTTTGCTGGTTAGCAAACACAGATCTTACTGTACTTGGTTACTCTTTAATCTGGAATGAATTGTCATCTGCTGGCAAATAGCTCATTTAAAACATCCAAGTTCTTAGCATTCAAGTTTAAAAGGAGAAAAATTAAGAATATTTTGTCTCCAAACTCTGAGGCAATCATTTGAACATTTTAGAAATATAAAGTGGTAAGAAACAGAAGAACTTCTTTCAAACTTTAAAAATCAGGAAAACATAAAGTCTTACTTCAGATCAATCCTCTGCTTTTGAATGTATTACAAAAAAATGGAAACCATCTTAAAAGAATCATAACTTAAAATAGCATGCATCTACTTCTCCTATTTCAAAATAATAGTTTATCAAAGCACACTGTAGTAAAGATGTTTTAGAATGAAATGAGAACTAAAAAGTACAGTAAAAAATGCATACAAATTAAGAAAACTACTTGTAAAGAAGCAGGAAAACCAAAATTTGATCCAAGAGAGAAAAACAATGACACTCTGAAAATCAAGATATATTAACAGTAAACTGCTTTCAAGGACAATTACAAGAGCTTCTGACTGCACATAACATAACACTGTGCGTACATGCTGGGCTGTCACCTTTACATTAGCAGAGAAGAAAGGGCAATTTCACTCAGACTCTGGTAAGTCATAAACAGAAAATTGCAAGTTGGAAATGCTACTCCTTTCATTCACATTTAGACAGTTTCAATCTATTTGATGAAATCTGCACTTTGCTTTCCTTTTCAGAGTTTAAATTCAGTTAAACATACTAAAGGAAAGTTCCCATTCATTCATTTCACAGCTATCCCACCACACCAAGGAAGGATAGCAGAGCGGCACCAAAGAAAGCAGTTTATTTAGGCAGCTAATACACAATATTGTTTACATCAAGGAAGCCAAGCATTTAATACAAACTAGATGGGGGTAACTTCTCCCCATGCTTACTTAGCATCTGTGGTCCAGCATCACAGAATGGAATATAAGGGCACAGTGGGGTTGTTTACATGTCAATCACTTGTCAGTTTCACCAGTTCTCTACAAATACCCCTTGTACTTGGAAATTTCTTTATCAATCCCTGTAATTAGAATTTTTAAACACAGCAATAGACACTTTTTTTTTCTTAAACTACTAAATTAAATCACCAGCACAAAAGGAAAGGTAATGCCATGGTAACTTTTGTGAAGCTGAAAAATTGCATTTTTAACTTGTTTCTAGCTCGGGTCACTTTTTCACTTTTTGTTTTATTCTCTTAGTTTAATGCAAAATTCCACTCTCCATATCTTTTTTTAACATTTGACATTAATATGAGTAAGGGGAGTAATAAAATAGGCAAAAAGTTAACTAATATCTCTGTGTTCAAAGTGAGAGAATATGAACTATTTTACCACCCCGCTCTCATAAGCATGAGTGAGTGAGTGAAGTCGCTCAGTGGTGTCCAACTCTTTGCGACCCCATGGACTGTAGCCTACCAGGATCCTCAGTCCATGGGATTTTCCAGGCAAGAATACTGGAGTGGGTTGCCATTTCCTTCTCCAGGGGATCTTCCCAACCCAGGGATCGAACCCGGGTCTCCCACATTGTAGGCAGACGCTTTACCGTCTGAGCTACCAGGGAAGTCTCATAATAAGAGGTAATTAATGGACAGTTGTTTGGTTTGCTAGTATTTCTAGAATGTCTACAGTATGTTAAAAGTCAGTGGACAACAATCAGTAGAAAACTTGTTTGAACATGCTACTATTTCCTAGACATTTTCTTGGGTGGAAAAGGCTTCAAGTATGACAAAGACCCTCATATAAATAAAGTGAAAATGTAGTTTATGCTACAGCATTCTGTATCAAAGAACCTGATAATTTGAGTATGTAACTCTGCTAACACTTTATTTAATAATATCTGTCCTTTATTCTCCACCCTTTCTTTTCAAAAGTGGTCTGTTAAGAAAAATCAAGCCTATAAATTCAAGTAGATTTACTTACAATTATGTTTTCTAAACTGAGCATAGATCTAAGACTTTCAGAAGAAAAAAGATCACTGTGCAGAAAAAAAAAAGTTTGAAGGTACCTCCTTAGAATCCTGAAAATAATATAAGATTTTGTTTTGTTCTATTTCATTATATTGGGTTAAATAGCTTATCAGGAAGCTCAAATACCTTTCAAGAGGAGTGTGGTGAGGACTGGATTTAATTGTAAATAAATAAAGAGTTGCATTAACTGGCTATTAAGGTAATGGTATGTCTTCTGCTACAGTACAAACCAGTGTGAGAATTTCCTTCAAATCTCATGAACACATCAGGAACCAGGCACACAAATTGATCTTGCTCTAAATTGAAGTTAAATTAATATCTTTCCATTGAAATGAAAATTGGAAATTATTTACCCCAGGGATTTTCAAATTAAGATTTTTGCATACAAAGTGTTTCAAAGAGTGCCCTCAGGGAGCCTACCAGAGTAGGGAACGCCTTATCATCCTTGATTCAGAGAAATTATGGTTAATCTCTGTTATATAATGTCATTTAGTATCAGATTCACTTTTAAATGCAATTCAATGACATAAAAATTAGAAACACTTAAGACACATTCTTGTGCAATCTTTCAACAGTGGCCTAGTACTAGGTACCTGGCACCAAGCATTCTGCAAAGACTTTGAGGCAAACAGCTCCATCACCAAATTACCTGGACCTTCTGAGTTAGCTAGCATTTAAAAACTTCATTGAGAGGACAATACCTCAGATGTTTTAGAAAGTCTGATTAAGTAGCACCTAGATAAACTCTTCTAGACCTTTCAAGTTTTTTCTACTGATCCTCATATGATACTCCATTCAGGACTTTTTACATCCTCAGTGTTTTTCTCTGAGTGTTTCTCCATTTGCCAATGTCAATAGTAGGATGTCACTTCTCAATACATGTTCTATTTCATGGATCCAAGAAAATTTGAATTTCATTCATGCCTTTACCTTTCATCAGCGAGGCTAGTCAATTTTCAGCTTTTTCATCTGTAAACTAAGGTAAGGTATATAAACTAATAGACCTTCTAGAAAGAATATATTAAAAATATACCTATAGCTTCTTGGAAAAGAAAAACATGTGAATTTCCTTTTCCTCTTCCTTAGAACCAAAAGTATTAGCCAGAATTAAAGAAAAAATAAAGCAAAAAGCCACCTAAGCAAGAATGTAGAATGAGGGAGAAAACTAATATATAAATGTTTAATCCAGTGGCCTGAGGATATAAACCCCAGTTTATGAAATATGAGACACAGTGGGGGCTAAGGCCTTTGGATATTTATCTGGCTTTATGCAGAGGCTGGCACAGCACCCTTAATACATGTTTACTTACTAAAGGCAGTAATAATAATAATAATGAGCATCATGTACATTCTGTGAATTTAAGGGTGAAAGTGAAAATGAAGTCGCTCAGTCTTGTCTGACTCTTTGTGACCCCATGGACTGTAGCACACTAGGCTCCTCCATCCATGGAATTTTCTAGGCAAGAGTACTGGAGTGGATCGCCATTTCCTTCTCCAGGGGATCTTCCCGATCCCGGTATCGAACCCGGGTCTCCCGCATTGTGGGCAGACACTTTACCATCTGAGCCACCAGGGAATCCCCAAAATATAACAACAAATGCAAACAGTGTGAAATGGTAAGAAAAAGAAGGAAAAAGGATCTGGGTTCCTGGGGCAGGTGTAGACCAGGCAGCAAAGAGTCTTAGGAGGACCTGTACACGGGAGCCTGGACCTATGAGCCATAGTGAAGGCTCCTCCGCAGGCTGGGCAACCTTGGGCAGGCTACATAACATCTCTGGCACTTGTTTCTTCACCTAAGTTTCTAAGGTCCTTTCTAGCATGAGACTATACATTCTTTTATTCCAATACAAAAACTGAAGGTTACGTTAATAGATCTATGCCTCTACTACTTCAAGCAACAGAATAACGGAACCAGGGCATATATGTCAGGAAAAAAGGTAAGAAGTGACTCCAAACCCTGAAACAAAAGTAGTGCTCTTCCATGAAAGACTCTGTGTCACACTAGTATACTTTTAGAACTTCATTTGTTATCAGCAGCCCCATAATTAATCAAAGTGCCCTGGAAATCGGCTTTGTTGTTTACATAGGCTTTGCTTAAAATTTTAAAATCTTGTTCTCTACATAAAACCATCATGCTAAACAATACTCGTTGCAATTTAACTGCAAATATCTCTTTATATATCCTACTCTTCTAATAGTATCACCCGCAATTTAGAACTCTGGACCGTGGTATTATTTCTATGACTATCTCTAGGCTTTAAGTCTTTCTGTACTTCAATGTATAGTCAAAACCTTTCCAGAGAATTATCTTGATCAGATGACCCTTGCCTTCCAAATAAAATCTGAAGTCCCTAGCCAAGCATTTCAATTACATTTCTTGACTATTACTATTTCTTGGTCTCAATTTACATTTCTTGACTATTTTTCTCCTTAATCCAATACCGCAAGCATATGAAATTTTTCTTAGTCAAAAAACATACCTTTTAACCATTTCAAATAATGTTATTCTCTCTGTATGGATTTTTTTTTTCATCTTATGCTTTTGGAAACTACAGAAATCCACTTAAAATAGAATCTCTGTGTTGCCCTCCTAGATACTGCAGTCAGAAGTGGTTTTACTCCTCCAAAGCCCTGTAGCACCGACATGACTCAACAATATTCAGGACACTGACGGACACTACATCACTGTATCGTTACTCAACTCTTGTATGACGGCTTAAGATGAAAAATAAAAAAGGTTTGGAGGTTGTCATTTCCTCAGAAAATGACTAATCCATTAGCCAATCATCTAACCAAATAAATGTGAGCTTCCCAGGTGGCGCTAGTGGTAAAGAACCCGCCTGCCAATGCAGGTAGATGGAAGAAAACACAGGTTCAATCCCTGGGTCTGGAAGATCCTCTGAAAGAGGGCCTGGAAACCACTCCAGCATTCTTGCCTGGAGAATCCTATGGATGGAAGAGCCTGGCAGTCCATAGAGTCTCTCAGAGCTGGACATACCCCAAGTGACTTAGCACGCATGCAGTTACATTTTAACTAGTTTAAGACAGCGAAAGAACAACCTTTTATGTTAAAGCAACCATCACATCAGACCTCACAAACAAGCAGCTGTGATTTTAGTATTCCTAATAAATATGAAAAAGTATTCTGCAGTTAGCATGCTCAAAAGTCAAAATTCTATAAAATGTCTATTTCATACTATGCCAACCACTTCACATAGGCTTATTTCTTTTAACAAATCTGTGAACTAATTATCATTTTCATCTTATAGAAAAAGAAACAAGCTCAGAGTGGTTAATTATTTTATTCAAATCACACATTTGGAAAGTGGCTGGGCCATGATTCCAGCTCCAAGCATGTTTGTCTATTTTGTGATCAGAAACCAACTATTCATCATTAGTATCATATCCCAAAGGCAGCGGAGAAATGAAACACTTACTTTTTTATCTAAAAACTGAGAGTATGCCAATAACGGGGAAAAGAAGACTCCTCATAAACTCATCTGCAAGGAGAACTGACTTGAGAATTTTGGAAATTAAGGTAGACGCTTTGCCAAAAAGGGAGGCATTTGGATGAATCTGAACAAAGCCTGCAGACAAAAGGCACAGTCCAACCATTCTCTTCTTCATCTCAAGCACAGGAACAAGGGACAGACAGACAATTCACACACGCACAAGTGCCATGGTGCATAGAATGTTCAAGATATCATTACCCTGAGCATGCCTTTCTTAAGGCAGCTGAAAATTGCGTCAAGAAGCAGCCGTAAGTCAACTTGGAAACTACACTGATATTGGACTCTTAAGTTCAATCACAGTTCTCCATAACTGCTTTCATCACGTATCATTATCAGTACAGTTAGCAAGCATCTCCATCATTTCTAATTTATTCATGCATTTATATAAATTTACCATTATTGTACCACTATACTATGACTATTTTACTCTACTATACTATGAGTATTTTAAAATTCAGAGAAACATAGAGAGTTCTCAAAGTTAAGAGAAAAATTAAAATAGAAATTTCTAACATTTTCTTCCTCTATGTAGGGTCATATGATCACACACAGCATCTCCGTGAAACAGTTTTAAAGACAGCCTCTCAGGGGTAGAAACAGCCTAATGAGCAAAAGACATGCTGGATTTCATCTCCCATTCTCCTCCCCAGCTGGGTACTTGTTTGCAGCATCCAACAGGCTCTTCAGTTTTTAAGATCACTAAAAAGTAGATTATGTTAAGCAATCCTTGAAGGATGCATATGCTGCAGTGAAGAAACTGAATTAAATGACAACTGCTTACTGAACGCATTTTCTAAGAGTGATTTCAGTATCTGGGGAATGTCATACAAGATGTGCATTCAGTCACTGGGAAATATCTCTGGTGTATACCATCTCAGGCACCACGCTAAGCTCGGGACAAATATCTTAGACTAGATTCAGTCTACTTCTCAGCTTAACAGACAGACAAATGAGAACAGATATGATAACGACATTAATGGTGGGTGAGCAGTGTGGAGGTCACTCAGATAAGGGAACCATCATCTATCCTTGAATGGAGTGAAGTGCAGTGAAGGTAAATTTAAAGTGGAGACCTAAAATAAGAGAAGGAAATGAGGATACAGACTTGAAGCAGGTAAGCAGTGGCTAGTCCTGAAGACTTTACAGTTTTCCAGCACATAAGTTATTGTGAGAAAAGATATATGGGGGAAAGTGAGGGACTTATACAAAACACCAACCTTTCTTCTGCAAACTGTTAAGTATAACTGATGAGAAACATGAAAATAGACTGACAAGACAATGGTGACATTCAGTCAACATATTATATTCATTGAGCACCTAGAATATGCCAGATACTGCTCAGGCTTTGGGGAACCAATAATAAGTCAAGACCCATATTCTGTTTTTAAGATCTATTGTGAAGAAAGAGCAGCCATAAAATAATCATACAAACACACATGCATTTAAAAATTATATCCTTGTAGTAGGTGGATGTGTAAAGAGAAGGTGATTTAACCTGGAGGATCATGAAAGGCTTACCAGAGGAAGTCATGTTTGAACTGGAATACAAAGGCTCTATATACAGAGATGGTTAGATGGCATCATCAATTCAACAGACATGAATCTGAACAAATTTCGGGGGATAGTGGAGGACAGAGAACACGCGCTGCAGTCCACGTGGTCGCAGAGTCTGACGTGCCTTAGCGACTGAACCACAACGACGGAGTAAAGCAGGGATGCTGTGAGACAACCATAGCGTATGCGAAGGCAGAGAGGGCCGAGCAGGTGGAATCTGTACACATAAAGGCCCCGCGGCAGTGAAAAGCAAGGATTATCTTGGGAACTGCGTGTGCTCACGCAGCTGAGCACAGACAGAGAAAAGGAGGGTGAAGAAAGTAGAATGAAGCTATTAGGCTGTTAAGAGTCAGGAGAACGGGGTCCAAAATGGTGGTCCGATGGAAGTGGCAGTTAGGAGGCCACAGGATGGCGGGAAAGGAGAACCACAGACCTGACTGAAGACTTCCGGAGGGAGAACGTGCCCAACACACCCCGTTTCCTGATTGGTTTCGAGTTTATGCCTCATTTGCATAGGTGTAACCAATCAGGCCTCAGGGACTGCCCAGCGGCAGAAACAAGGGATGTAAAAAAGGAAATCAAAACTGGCTAGGCACTATGAAAAACAGTGTGGAGATTTCTTAAAAAGCTGGAAATAGAACTGCCATATGACCCAGCAATCCCACTTCTGGGCATACACACCGAGGAAACCAGATCTGAAAGAGACACGTGCACCCCAATGTTCATCGCAGCACTGTTTATAATAGCCAGGACATGGAAGCAACCTAGATGCCCATCAGCAGACGAGTGGATGAGGAAGCTGTGGTACATATACACCATGGAATATTACTCAGCCATTAAAAAGAATTCATTTGAATCAGTTCTAATGAGATGGATGAAACTGGAGCCCATTATACAGAGCGAAGTAAGCCAGAAAGATAAAGAACATTACAGTATACTAACACATATATATGGAATTTAGAAAGATGGTAACAATAACCCTATATGCAAAACAGAAAAAGAGAGTCAGATGTATAGAACAGACTTGTGGACTCTGTGGGAGAAGGTGAGGGTGGGATGTTTCGAGAGAACAGCATCGAAACATGTATATTATCTAGGGTGAAACAGATCACCAGCCCAGGCTGGATGCATGAGACAAGTGCTCGGGCCTGGTGCACTGGGAAGACCCAGAGGGATCGGGTGGAGAGGGAGGTGGGAGGGGGGACCGGGATGGGGAATACATGTAAATCCATGGCTAATTCATGTCAATGTATGACAAAAACCACTGCAATGTTGTAAAGTAATTAGCCTCCAACTAATAAAAATAAATGGAAAAAAAAAACTGGCTAGGAGCACTCCTGCAGAGGTTGGTCCACTGTCATTTCTCAAGACTGCACTACTTACTGCTTGCTCAATAAACCTTGCCTGCTTGAGCTGTCTTAGTCGATTGCTTCAACTCTCTGCTGCAGCAATCTAAGAACCGGGGGAGAGAAAACTGACCTAACATAGCTAAATAGTTCGAGGTGGGTAAACAGGTCTCAGGCCCACAAAAAAAGAGGCTTCATATCTTCACTGTTAAGTCATGAACTAAAATAGTCCTTTCCCCTCTGTAGGCAAACTCCTCCCTCCCCATCTCCTTTCCTTCAACAAACACTGACTGAGCATTCATCAGTCTGCCTCCATGATGTACTATTTTGGATGCTGAAAGTACAACAGTGAAGAAAACAGACTGACTCTCTGTCCTCGTGAAAGTCACATTTTCGAGGAGGAGGCAGGTAATGAGATCTGTAACATGTCATAAATGATATCTACCTCACAAGGCTCCTGTGAGGAACATAGAAAATTGCATGAACATAGAGTTTATAAAATGTAGACTCTTGTTTATAAAAAGACTTTTGAATCTTTTCTTGGGTGTATGAACTTAAATGTGAAAATCAGGCACCTAAGCAGATTCATAATGTTAAGTATTTGTAAGTGGAAAACAGTAATATAAAAGAGTCAAAGATGAAATACAGAAATTCTGACCAAGAAAATATAACTACTCAAAGCAAGCCTTACATAGATTTTATTTGTAATTATCTCAAAAACCTGAAAGGTAGGTTTTATTATCCCTACATGTGAAGATGGAGCACAAAGTAATCAGCAAACCTAAGATGTTCCACTTTTATGGACCTAAACTATAAGTTGCTATATCAGCAATTTTTCTAAATTTCTATATGAAACTCAAATGAACAATTAAAATTTAAGTTCCTAACTGTACCAGACACTGTTGGTTATTTCCTCACATCAGTCGGTGCCCCTTCCTCAATCCTGATAGAATCCTAATCTGATTCACTTACCTATCCATCTGAAAGACCAGAGCAGTATTTTAAGTAGTTTAAATCAATCACCACATGTCATTTCTTTGGCAACTCTTGGTCTATAGTTGTAGACTTTAGACCTAACTTTACCTAAGTTGCTTCAATGAACTCAGATAAGGGATACAGAATCTACTGGGCAGGGGGAAATATCACCTCCCTTCTCTCTGTTCTTTATTTTCTTCTTTCTCTCTCTCGTTTCTTTTTTCCTCTTTTTTCTACTGCATATGAACCAGAAGAATTTCAACATGAAGCCCTAAACAACGGCCATTTTGAGAATAGGAGCAAAGCCTTAATATAATCTGCCCTTGAGGATGGAAAAGTGGAGAGAAAGAAAATGAAAAGCTATCTCTGAACTTGCTCTGTGAGTTCATCATTTTGCTTATTATTAAAACCAGATTCAGACAGGTGTCAGTTACTTGCAACCGAAACCATATAACTAATCCACAAACCACAAGCACTTATTTTCTGCATTTAAACAGTTTACCTCATCTTGAGACATCCAACATTGAATGTATTTAACATTGAAGAGTTCTTCCAAAAGCATCCACAATAAGCTGGCTGACATGAAATGTTATCCTGGATAGAGAGCATTTCAGAAATAAAGTGAAATATTCTAATTCCCAAGCACATGTGTACAGCACATGAATTCAGGGAAGTGTCAGTGTTTCTAATAACTAGTAATATTTATTGAGAATTTACTAAGTGTAAGGACTTGGCTGATACCACAAACTCAATCTTCACAGCAACCCAGTAACATACGTAGTGTATTATCTTCCCCTAACAGGCAAGGAAACCAGGTTAGAGGAGAGTGTTTCCCACCCAGCACATTGCTGAAACTAGAGTTTGAATCCTATCCCACAAAATCCTGGCTCTCTCCACCACAGCATGCTGATTCACGTGCCATTTATTTAAATTCTAAAATAAATTAACATAATAACATTCCCATAATAAATATGATAGAAAACAACTGCGAGGCTGTTTGTCTGGACACTGATTTAACAATCTGTGTAAACATGCTCTAGTTCTGTCAAATATTAACTGTTTAAAAATCGGAGACACTATTACTGATTTTTTAAAAATATTTTTTAAGACACAAGTTTTCTGTTGTGATGATAGAAATGTGACTTGGAGGAAAAGAATGTAAAATCCTTATTAAATGTATCTAATAAACATTTATCAAGCTCCTATTACATGCTCAGTAATACAGCACGTACCTTGGAAGGCATATAAATGAAAAAGATTTAGAACCTGCCACCAGAAGCTTGGATTTGCTAAAAGGCAACTGTTACATAAAACTAACAGAGGCCTAAGAAAAACTATGTGGTAGGGCTGCAAAAAGGGAGCGGGCTCAGATTAAATTCTCCCAAAAAAGCCTCAAGAGAAGAATTCATTTGAATTCATTATAAAAGTCTTCATGTAAGCTCATTTAGTCAACAAAGCAGTCCCAACTTTGGGCCAGGACCTAAGGTGATAGCGAGATAAATAAAATATGACCTCTGCTATGACAGCCTCTTGAGACATAAGACATACTATCACCAAAAAGGGGGATGAGAAGTATTCTGTCAGGCAGTAAAGGAGAAGGAAGAGGGATAATCTGTGAGGCTGCTGTGACCTTTAAATGGAGAGCACTGTTTGCCTGAGGCACTGAATTAATGAGGTCACATTTTCCTAGGTGAAATCGAGGAGGCCTTCAAGGTGGAGGTGGCACGATCGGGCTTGTGAAGAGTGAAGAGAAGTCTGCCTGATGAAAAGGACAGAAGAAACAGCAGAAGCAGAACTCCACAGGCTCAAGAGTAGCTGACTCAGGTGTGTAACTCTTCAAGTGTAAGACCAGGGAATAAGAATGATAAATAGAGACCACTGAGGAAACTTAAAGGTCAAGTTGGAGTTTAGACTACAGACCCTGGTGATTGTAAAAGTTTAGAGAAAAGTAATAGTTTTAATATTTAGCAGTCTTACGACAGTGGGCTAGTAATTCAGCTAACCACTGTAGGCTAGTTATTTCATTTATCCAATTGAGGCAGTGATATGTATTTACAAGAGTTCCTTTGAAAGTCATAGGGAAATGTTTTGCTAAATCTAAACTGCCATGCTCATAGACCAAATGAGTATTGACTGGGGGAAGAACCTAATCCAAGCTGTGCTTTAAGAAGACACCTCTGGATGAAGAAATTTTGGAGCAGAGGACCCTAGCTACAAATTAAACTAAAGAGAGGGAAAAGGAGAGGATTGATGGGTGCAGCTATCAGAAGGTAGAATCAACAGAACTTGAGAGTGGGGGTAAAGGATGAGGAAATGAGTCAAGATGACACTAAGCTCCAGGTCTTAATAAGGGATGGACAAATGGAAGACACAGGGGGACAAGCGCTCTAAGCACCTGTGCACTGTTTACAATGCATCAAATGTGGTAAGGATTTAAATAGATTATATGGATCATGCCTTCTATGACATTTTTACATAAAAGAAACTCTTAACTTTAGTCCAGTTAAAACACATGGTAATGAGCATTACACTGTAGTTAAATGCCAGCCTGCCACTGGGGCAAATTACTTCATCTCTTTGGGTCTCAAGTTTTCCCATCTGTAATTTGGTTCCCTTTTATGTTAATGAAAATCAACCCTGAATATTCATTGGAAGGACTGATGGTGAAGCTGAAGCTCCAATACTCTGACCACCACTGGAAAAGGCCCTGATGCTGGGAAAGATTGAGGATAAGAGGAGAAGTGGGCAACAGAGGATGAGATGGTTGGATGGCATCATTGACTCAATGGACATGAGTTTGAGCAAACTCCATCCAGGAGATAGTAAAGGACAGGGAAGGCTGGCATACTGCAGTCCATGGGGCTGCAAGGAGTCAGACACAAATGAGCAACTGAACAACAACAACATATTGCTGAAGATCCAATAAGTAACTATTGATACAAATGAAGTGCTTAGAAGAGCTCCTGGATTAGGCACTGAATTCATGAGTGTGACAGGGCTGACCTCAACCTTTCCACCCTCATCACCACCACTTCCTCCAATCAAGAAATATTTCTCTTCGTGGAATGAAGGCTATGTTAAAGTAAAGCTCCAAAGCTTCTACAAAGTTGGTCAGCCTACATCCAGCTATACACACAAAATGTCAGCATGTTTATCCCATTAAAAAAAAAAAAAGGAAAAAAGGGTGCTTTAATTTGGATCAAGAAAGTAACAGGGTAATAGGGTCTCCTGAGTTGTTTGTACAAGCTACAACTAAATCAAGTTTAGAGGCAGAAGATACTCCCTGGGTGCAAACTTCAGTCTGTCTGCTAAATGGTCTATCAGGCCAGGATCTGCCGAGGAATGTTAACCTTTGCTGCTGTTGATGGACTCAGTACCAGCCCAGGCACAGGCTGCATCACTGACTCAAGTCACTAGCTCTCCCTCCTTGATACACTTCCCTCCCAGCTTCCCAGCTGAGCTGTCATGATTCACTGTCTCTGTAGAGCCGGATTTGCTAAGATAAGATAATGGCCTTTTATGTGCAGGCGCTGTGAATTCCTCTCCACCCCTTGTACAGGGAAGACAATTTAAGTGGAAAGGAATAAATTGCTGGATTTAATACAGTGACCAAACACAAAAGCCTAATAAAAATGTCAGGAGTACATGCTCTAGAATGGCAAAGAACTGTAGAAGAACACTAAGTGTGTAAGCTGTGCCTTGGCAACCCAAATAAGGATACAAAATGATGAGAATACATGTAAATCCATGGCTAATTCATTTCAATGTATGACAAAAACTACTGTAATGATGTAAAGTAATTAGCCTCCAAATAAAAAAAAAAAAATGAAATTTGCTGCCTTAAATGCTTCCTATTATTTTAGCAATTTCAATTTTGTAGTAATTCTGTAGCACTATTGCCTTATTTGCAAATTAAATAAAATCACACAAATGTGTAAAATATTCATAAAGAATTTATAAATACTATCAAAGATATTGTAGAATAGACTTTTCTAGATTCTCAATATTCACAGTGAGGAAACTGGTACAAAAAGCCAACTACATATAAGTGTGAATCTTACACTGACATGACATGCTGATTGAACAAGTTTACTAATTGCTCTTCTCTTTAAACTTAAACACTATCAAGGGAGAACAAATGCAAAAATATTAAAAAGTTAAAGCTTCAAATGCTTTTTGTAGCTCGTGTGGTATGAAAGATGACTGTGGATCCTTCGTACTGTCTGCACTTTTATTTCAGCTTACAAATATAGGCATGCCCACTATATGTGAAAACTGCTCTAAGGTGAATAGAGATGAAAGTGCCAAAGCTCTAGAGGGGTATACAACCGAGGGAGTGGATTTTGTTAAAAAAAAAAAAACTAATAAACATAATATATAAACTAAACTATTGATATTTCTACAATATACTAGACAGTCAAATTTCTTGAACTCCCTTGGCTGCAGGCATATGGATTAATCATGTTAAAAAGTTAAGTGAAAACACCTGCGTGTTGGCAGGTATCACTGTCTGGCATCACAGAGCCACAAAGAGGAAGGACCCCTTACCCCGTTGGGTGGTGGCTCCCTCTGAATGGCAGCAATCTCCGTAGACAGGAAGGAAAGCACTGCCTGGTCAGTAGCAAAGCCTGGTGGGATTTCAACATTCCAGAAGCAGGCATGTGAAGCCAGAGACTGCCATGAACATGGAGAACTCATGAAATAAGTAGGAAGAGGAGGAAAGAGCAAGCAGCATGGGATGCGTCACTGAACAGTTCGGTTCCCGGAGTGGGGCAGGGGAACACAGACTCAGCCAAAAAGCAATAACAAATCATTTTAATAGATGATGGTTAATGTCTGTTTACTTTTCCTCAACCTATTCAGGAGCTGTTTTTATGAAAAATATTTACCATCAATTGAACTCTGTGGCAGATGCGTTACATCCTCATTTAATCCTCTCAGTGACACTGATGCTCTAATTATCTCCACCTTAAGGAAAAAGATACTGAGGTGGAGAGGTTAAGTAACCTGCTCCAAGTCACACGGTTAAGAAGTGTTTCAAGTGGAAGCCAGGTTTCAAATCCTGATAATCTGTTGCAAAACCTATATTCATTCATTCAACCAATATTTCTTGCACACCTACCACTATGCTCTGCCTTCATGAAACCTGCATTTTAATTGACAGGGAAAGACAACCAAATAATTAAAATACACAGTATGATAGATGGTGATGGAGAAAAACAGGGACATGGGGTGAGAGGACTCGGATACTCAGTTTCTTTACACAAAGGGAAACCCAACTACAACACAATGGATTCTTTTCTACGCTTTTATTAAATCTAAAGTCACATAACA